TTCTTTCTTTCTTTTTATTATTATTATTATTATTTCTTCAGGGGTGTATACTTAGAGTACAAATAATGGCTTTCCCTGGCAAGCATAATTTCTCGTGCATTACGTGTACATTTATTTAATATTCACGGCATCTTGACACTATGTGTCCACGCACTGTTTTCATGCCATCTGTGAGATTTATAAATATAAATCAACCCGCTGCACTGAATAATGGGGACGTGTTTCGACTGCAGTGGTCCCAATAATTGGAAATCGGTTTCCCTGGAGTTCGTGACTTGCAAGCTAAATGGATTTGATCGCCCCATGGCTGACATTCCAAGGCGGGTTTACGCTCGACCGGTTGAAGGGTAGTAACGCGTCTGTATATACTGCCCTGTATAACAAGGATTACGAGAAGATCTTGATGCGCGATCAGGAAGAGCTTCCTTTTTACACTGTTACAGGAAACGGAGAGGCTATGTACTCGAATCGCTTGTCGTACTTCTTTGACCTCAAGGGACCGTCGTTCCCGCTGGATACAGGGTGCAGTGGAAGCATGGTCACCCTACATAATGCGTGCTTCAGTATCTGGTCTGGTGAAAGCGACCAATCTATTGTGGCGACGCGTTCCGTAAGATTCAGATGGGCAAGCATCCGGGCAAGCTTGTCCTTTCATATAGCGATAGCGACGTGATCAAGGTAAGACACAGATCCCGGTGGCACTACCATTAATCTCTGACTGATGACAATAGGTCGCTCCACCTCTGGTACCGCAAAGCATTGAGAGCAGATAGGACTAAGTCTGTCGTCTGTTTATACAGTTAATGGGTCAATGTGATTTCGTGACGGGATGTAGATACGAGTAGGTGTTAAAATAAAATCTATAGAGAACAAAAAAGTAAAGAAAAGAAGATGAATCAAAAGAAAACCTCCGATGCGTCAGCCGATCCGCGACTTTAAGTAGTCGCCGGATGATTGGTATCACTCATTTATGCATCCTTTCCAATTCTCCATCGGTTTGTATCCGCTACTTCCGAATCCGAGCAGAGCTACTGTCTTCGAATCTGATTATTGTCCTTTTCTTGGTTAGAAGTATGTACAGCTCTTGAACTGCCGTTGTCTCCGATTTTCTTTTCTACTTTAGGGTATCTTCTGAAGCTAACCCTATCACTTCCGCGGATGGTTCATCCCCACCGAGGTACCACGCCTACCAAACCACAACGTTCTAAACTCAACGCAGAAAAGCGCAGCGGGCAATGGGTTGCGCGGGCTCCGTAGATGGTTCTTACCCATCATCCCGTCCGTTTTATCCGATGCCCCGAGCTCTTGGCCATTAGGCAGCAAAAATAATACCTGACGACTAGCTGAGTTGTGCATTTCATTGACATCATAACTTGATTCATACACTACTGGATTTATGCGAGATATACCTCCGATCGACCCATCAGCTGGCTAGCTGCTACTTAGCACTGCCAAGCAGGAGCCACATCCCTAGTAGACGCACCAAAAGGCCGAGAAGTAGTAAACGCATCTTTTTTCCTCCGCACTTGTACCTCGAGTAGAATCACGTCGAATACCAAGAAAGGGAAATAGGTACAAACTCTCTTTCTTGAATATATTCTTGGCTAGTTCCACATCGTGGTGCACTAGAGAGTCGAGACTAGCGTGAGCATGCGCAGCCTGAAGTGTTACAGACCCTTTTCTAGCACACCTTATCGAAAGCAGATAAGGCAGGATTTCATATAATAACAACAGTCGATTACGGTATAGCTATTAACCAAAGAATTATTCTATATATTATGAATCTATAAGGATTAATGATGCCGAATCGCCCATATTAGTTATTTAGAAGTCATATATGATAGTAGTAATATAATCAAGCGTATCAACGAACCAATAAATTTATACATAATAGCACTAATAAAAAGAAATTCATCTACCAGGGTTAGGCTTGTGAAATAGTGTGATATAATATATTAAACTTCAAAATAGCAATTCCATACAAATAACCTGTATCCAGAAGGTATCCTGATGACGAACCATCTAGATACTAGAGTCCGCTCCTACTTGCCTTTCCAATCACTCTGTTCGTCAGATATTTCCCCTTAACCCCTGGAGAAAGTGACGTTCCTCGTCAGTGACTCGCAGATTGTGCAGAATATCTTCACTCGAGGGTGATATATCTTCGGCTGCTGGTCGAGCTCTGTGTTGGCTGGCTTCTGATGGATGGGTCTCACTCTCTCTCCAGCTGTGGAAGAGGCGGCGCTCTTCTTCAGTCACCCGCAGATGATCTATGATATCCTTTCTTGTAGACTCAGGTAGTGTAGATCTATTCGATGTACTCGAGATGGCGGGACAGAAGTACCGGCTAGACAAATGCTCGGAAGCACAGCCGCACAAGTCAACCCCTGCATCATCTCGGATTCCAGACCCTCCTGTCCTGGCTCGAGCCGATTCCTGTTTCCGGCCAGAGGAGGCAGATGCTATAGGTGCTTTAGGAACCTTGATTGAGTGTGGGACATGGCCGGAATCTTTGTTGAACGAGGGTAGCCGCGCTTGATTAGGAATGTGGGATGTCATTTTGGAAGATGTTTTATTGTATTGGCAACGGGGAGATCTTCGTCTGCGGAGTAGAAACAATTTTCGATGAGTCAGTGGGACGCTCATAAATTTAAGCTCGTTTGAAGAAACCAATTGCCCAGATCATAGGTGTGAAACTGTTGATTGACATTTTGTGCGATCGAATAGTTGTGTCGGGCGAATCGCACTTCCCCGCTTCCCTTTCTGCCTGTGAGGTGCGTGTATCTAGCAAAAGAGTATATACATAAATTAAGATACAGGAGTTGGGGACTCTTTAAACACAGACTTTCGTTATTCTAATCTTCATAGAAAACTTTACAACACTACCTATCATTCGAAGTTTTTTACATCATGGTCGTTCTCTCTACGGAATGGCTCGAGGTGCATATTTCACCCATAACCTTCTCATTATTGCCTAGTTACTAATAAGCAGTAATGCAGCTTGAAGAAGCCCTCGGCAATCGCCCCCTTCTCAAAGGCTCCCCAGAAGAGATCAAGAAGCAGTACAGCGGTCTTATGACTTTCCTTGCAGCTAACCGCCCTCCGCCAGACCCATATGTATCCGCGAACGACATGACAATCGCTGGGGTCAAGTGTCGGGTATACACGCCCGGTTCGCCAGCAACCCCTCGGCCCGTCGGAATATACACCCATGGAGGTGGATTTGTTTGCGGTGATCTTGACTCTGAAGATGCGCTCTGTCGAGTGATCTCCAAGGCCGTAGACTGCATTCTCGTCAGTGTAGACTACCGACTTGGCCCTGAGCACAAGCTCCCGGCCATGCTCCAGGATACGCTAGCGGTATACCAATGGGTATGACTACTCTGCCACTGGAAAGGACTATTCTAACAAGATCTCCCCATTTGCGCAACAGGTATGGGAAAACGCTTCCCAGCTCGGCGGCAATCCGGCCGCGTTCTTCTCCATCGGCGGGAGCGCCGGAGCGGGATTGGCTCTTGCTGTTGCGAATCATTATGCTCAGCGAGCTGACGGTAGGAAGTATATCAAAGGGGTTGTTGCACTAGTACCATTGGCGTTGCACTGGGATAATGTCCCTGCCGAGTATAAGGGCGACTACACGTCGTATGACGACAACGCAGACAATGTCCCCGTTATCGACAAGTCTACGATGGAATCGTTCTATCGTAAGTCATCACCCAAAAGCCGAATCCAGCCCCCTATTCAACAGCTTATACTTATATCAGAGGCTGTTGCGGCCGATCCAAATGATTCTAACATATTCACTGCCTTGTCACCCCATCTTCCAAATTTTCCCCCTACGTATATCTGTACCTGCGGAGCGGACCCCCTCCGCGATGATGGGACTATAATGGAAAAGGCTCTCAGGAAGTCTGGGTAGGTTTCATATTCCAGATGGTCTACCATCTGCCGATCTGTCTCGGGCATTTCTAACGGCGGCATCTCTTAGTGTTCCAACGAAGCTGTCAACATATCCAAATCTACCTCACTATTTTTGGATCTTCCCGGACCTGGAAGCTAGTGGAGGGTTCATCAATGATGTGATTTCCGGGACTAACTGGGTCATTTCGCAGTTCCCGACTTTGAATTAGATGATCGCGCTGGCTGGGGTGGCCGTCATGGCTGTACAAATCATTATCACTAAGGTCTCAGTAATTCACAAGAGGAATTTACAAAATAAGATATGTGAGCGTAAAGAACCGGCGTCAGTGTAATTTCATAGCTTTAAGAGGTGTATATGTTATTATAGGCGTAATACATTGCGTGTCCTACAGTCCTCGTTGGCGGTGTTAGGACCTTCTGCTATATCTATGTTATTATACTCGCACCCATGCTTACTGGTCGCTTTTGTCAGATGAGTAAATCTATGTCTTTCGAGGTACTGCCCCTCAGGAAGCGATAAGTAGATTAACCCCAGGCCCATGGGAGGGTCAAATCGAATCTACTCCGCGTCGCACGGGGTGCGAGAAACGTCAATCCCCACAGTGTCGGTGCGAGTGTGCGAGTCGCACTCCCAAGCCGGGAACGCAGATCCCCCCGGATCTCAGGACATCGGAAAGCTCAACGAGCAAGAAAGACACTATATATTACAGAGTAGTGTTGCTGCATCGCATTAATTTAAGAATACATTTCACATCCATCTCCACATCCTCCCCATTATCGCTTCTCATCTAGCAAGTTCTCTTTACACAGCAAGCTACAACAACAACATGAACGGCACACAAACATCCAATGGCGTCCATCACGGCGTGTTACATCTGGATGCGCTGATTATTGGCTCGGGCTTCTCCGGCATATACCTCCTGCATAAGATACGCGACGAGCTGAAATTGAGCGTCAAGGTGTTTGAAGCCGAGTCGGATATTGGTGGAACGTGGAATAATAACCGCTATCCGGGTGCACGAGTGGACTGCCCAATTCCCTTGTATGCATATTCATCGCCTAAGATATGGCAGTCGTGGAATTGGACGGAGCTGTACCCCAATCAGAAGGAAATCAAGTCCTACTTTGACCATGTTGATCGCGTGCTGGATGTGCGGAAAGATTGTCTGTTTGAGTCAAGGGTCAATGAGGCCACGTTTGATGAGGTGGCTGGTCGATGGACGGTCCGGACAACGGATGGGAAGATGGCAACCGCGAAGTATCTGCTGGTGGCGGTGGGGTTTGCATCCAAGTCGTATCTGCCGGATTGGAAAGGGCTCGAATCGTTCCAGGGGACAATTTACCACTCGGCCCATTGGCCGGAAGCAGAAGAGGTCAATGTGAAAGGGAAGAAGGTGGCAGTCATCGGCACAGGCTCGACAGGCATCCAGATATTCCAAGAATGGGCCAAAGAGGCCGAGGAGGCGTTTCTCTTCCAAAGGACCCCGAATCTCTGTCTCCCGATGAGACAGCAGGAGTTACATGCTGGCTATCAGGTGAAAGATAAGGGGGACTATGCAGACTACTTTGCCGAGTGTGCGTTAACCTTTGCCGGGCTGGAGTATCAGCCCACTCTGACCAATACATTTGATGCGTCTGAAGAGGAGAGGGAGGCGTTTTGGGAGAATCTCTATCAGTTGGGCGGGTTTAGGTTCTGGCAAAACAACTATCAGGACGTCCTGACTAGCCTTGACGCCAATCGCGAGGCATACAATTTCTGGGCTCGAAAGACCCGTGCGAGGATTCAGGACCCTAGGAAGCGGGACCTTCTGGCTCCGCTGGAGCCCCCGTACCCGTTTGGAACGAAGAGGCCATCCCTTGAACAGGACTTCTACGAGCAGTTCAACAAGTCGAATGTCCATATCGTTGACACAAAGAGCCAGCCCATTGTTGGTGTGGCGCCTACCGGCATTGTCACCGCTAATGGAAAGGTCCACGAAGTCGATATTATCGCTGTGGCAACGGGCTTTGATGCAGTAACTGGTGGCTTACTGCGCCTAGGTCTCAAAGACGTGAACGGTGTCGGCCTCGACGAACGCTGGAAGGATGGCATGTCCACCTATCTCGGCATGGCCGTTAGCGGGTTCCCAAACATGTTCCTCCCATACAGCCTCCAGGCGCCCACCGCTTTCGCCAATGGACCGACGCTAATTGAACTCCAGGGGGACTGGATCACATCCCTGATCAGCAAGATGGAGACGGAAAACGTCCGAAGTGTCACGGCTACCCCTAAGGCAGAGAGTGCTTGGAATGACGAGGTTAATATGATTACCAACATGACGCTTTTGCCGTTAACTGATTCGTGGTACATGGGATCCAACATACCGGGCAAGCCCGTTCAATCGTTGAACTATCTTGGTGGTCTTCCAACCTATCGTGAGAGATGTGCGAAGGTCCTTGATGAGGATTTCTTCGGTTTTTCGAAAGCATGATGTAGTAGAATTTGCTTTTTCAAGTACATGTAAATATGATATCTCCTATGCAATGCTTGATGTATACTGATATTCCGATTGGACCACCTAGTTCCTAAGTAAAACATTTAGAATTTACATCTGTATTCATTTCTTTCATATGATGACTTTGTCCATCGAAGGACATCTGTGTATAAACTGAAACGCTCCAACCCCCGTGATACATACCATATTGCGCCGGCCAAATAGCATAAAGACAGAAAAACAAGCCGAAGGCCTCCTGTTAAGGACTAAATGGACAATACGGGTAGTGGGTTATCAGGAGGAAGCGTGAAATAAGAAGGCGATGTCACATTCTCGGATGCCATGTCTTCTTCTAAGGCGGGAAATAAAGAGAAGAAAGCCTTGCACATCGTCCATTTCGAAAGGTCTACCAAGTGCAGACTGAAGGCCTCAGAAAAGGAATATAATGCATTCCCAGGGTTAATCTCATAGGCATTACTGATTGAATGGGGCCACGATAATCGGAAGCAGGAGGCAAAGCACTTGAAGAATCTGTCTGTAAGTATCTCGCAATTTGAGAACACTAGGCGTTCGCGGAAGCCAGGCCTAAGTATGCCAGGACCAGTTAGTTCTTCGAAACAGAAATTATTGAATCGAAGATAGGGGTCATATATATGTACCAAGCGAAATAGTCCGCAGTGGGGTTGTGCGGAAGGTGAAGCTGTGAAGGCCTTTGTGGATGATTAGCATAACATGCATTCAGCGATGATCAGGTGAATACAAACCTCGGTCGATACCACGGCGGAAGCCTTCAAAATTATTTTGATAGACCAATGCCTGGAAGAAGGTCAATATACAGGTGTGTCACTTGTCCAGTAGCTCATACCACGAGCATCTTGAGGATGGTGCTGAGCATTGTCAGACGTGTGAGGACCCCGCTTTGTATGAAGATCCGCTCATCAATTTGGCTAATAATTTTCCACAGCGGGCACGAATACGCCCTATCCTCTATAAAGTGCCAGCCTTCAAGGACCCCGCGGATCATGGCGTCTTGGTTTAGTTTGTCATCGGAGCAAATGTCTAGGATGCTCAATCCCGACCATTGCGCGAGAAGTTCGTCGGCGAATTCAAGTATCATGCAACTGCCGCTATCCTGGAGCGATGGAAAAATGGCTGGCCAGGTGGTCGAGTGTCCGTTCCCCAAAGTCCCTAGGGCTTGTCTGAAAGGGGCGACTGTTTCTGAATCGAAAGGAGCAGCTGATGGTCGTGAGGCCAACATTGTGCATGGCTCATCGTGTAAGGACGAATGGAGATCGGATGGGGGCGATGAGTCTTCTGGAGACATTGTCACGGGCGGTAACCCTAGATCGAGTCTGTCAGAGTCAGAAGACGCTCATTATTGGGCAAGGGAAAGGCCACAGTACCGAGTCTGAGATTGCAGTAAAAGATGTAGTGCAGTGACTTGGCTTTGGAGATTCTTTAGACTCTCTTTCTCCTTTTCCTGCTTTTCTCGTTTGGATACCCTGTCCTTGTAACGCTTACGCTCTCGTTGCGCCGGGGTCAACACACGACCGGAGGTCCACGGTTTAGTGGGTACCGATCGGTCTGACGATAATCGTGTAGCCATTGGAATCAACCTGCCTTAAACTTGTGGACAATCGCGGGAGATTTCCAACGTGTAGAGGATGTCGCAAAGGAACGAGCAATAGAGGGGCTGGCGTGGGACGTCAGAGATGGACCACAGACAATCTACACCACGAATTCGTTCCCCCGCACTTGTTCCCCAGGTTTCCAAAGCTTCGTTTTGCCCCCGACTAGGACGCTTTGGGATAGACCGAGGTACTAAAGGTCGACTCAATCTTGGCTCACCAAAGAGTGTGGATTTTCCGCCGGACCCGGTGGAGCCGGTGCGAATTACGACGGGATGATTGGGCCCTCCGCAGATCGATGGATCAACATCTGGGGTGTGCGAATCGCACAAGTGATAGAGAAATGATCGGCAGTGATAACCCTCCCTCCCGAGGAAATAGTATATTATATATAGAATACCAGATCGCTTTCCAGTGCCAGCTTCTTGTTCATGCTAAACTACACTTTCAGTGACATAGTCTCGGAAAGCCACAGCAATCGCATTTGTGGAAGTCAATTCTCAGCAAATTGTCAGAATCATCATGTCGTCTTCAGTCGAAATTCCTAAGAAGCACAAGGCGGCAGTCTATGACAAGCCTGGATCTGTATCAACCAGTGTGAAACTGGTGGAAACGCCAGAGCCGGGATTCGGCCAGGTTCTGATTAATATGTGAGTATTGCCAATGTTACCACCTCGGTTGACCACTAATCTGTGCATGGAACAGGACTCACTCCGGAGTCTGTCACTCTGATTTAGGTGTCATGACAAATTCCGTGAGTACATGCATCGTATATCACCACAGGAATGCATCTGACACATTGCCAAACTGCAGTGGAAGCCGCTGCCGTTCCCAACTCAGGAAGGGCAAGTGGGAGGCCACGAGGGTGTTGGTGTGGTCGTGAAACTTGGACCTGGATGCGATAATTCACAAGTCAAAGTAGGGGATCGCGTTGGAGTCAAATGGGTTGCCGCTGTGTGTGGAACATGCTGTGCGTCGACACCATAATTACACCAACCTAGAACTAAATACTAATGAAAAGCTCCAAGTGCCTTGCCTTTCGGGGTCGGACGGCCTTTGCCTGAATGGAAAGATATCAGGCTATTATACCCCTGGTACCTTTCAGGAGTACGTTCTGGGGCCCATCGATTATGTGACCCCAATTCCAGATAGTGTTCCGTCCGAACTAGCAGCACCTATGCTTTGCGCCGGTGTAACGGTGTATGCGGCCCTCAAACGCAGCAAGGCGCAATCTGGTGACTTCGTCGTTATTTCAGGGGCGGGAGGTGGTCTTGGACATCTTGCCACACAGATTGGAAGTCGTGGCCTTGGGCTTCGCATAATTGGAGTCGATCATGGCAGCAAAGCCGACTTGGTGAAAGAGAACGGTGCAGAAGCTTTCGTGGATATAACCCAGTTTCCGAAGGACGATAATGGCGCCGCCATTGCAGAGCATGTCAAATCTCTGACCAACGGCCATGGTGCCCATGCCGTAATTGTCTGCACGGCATCCAATATTGCCTATGCGCAAGCAATTCCTATGCTCCGCTTTAATGGCTCCCTGATCTGTGTAGGCATTCCTGAGGGCGACTTGGTGCCCATTGCCACAGCAAGCCCGGGCCCTCTTGTGCTTAAGCAGATCTCAATCGAGGGATCCGCGGTTGGAAATCGACGAGACGCCCTTGAGGTCTTAGACTTTGTTGCCCGCGGCATCATCAAGCCTCATGTTCGAACAGAGAAGCTGGAGAAACTAACAAGCATTTTTGAGGAGATGCACTGTGGTAAGCTCAACGGACGAGTGGTTATAGACCTATCTTAAGACCTCTGGGTGGACAAGTGGCCTGTCGCCACGACCTTTTCCTTTTCATATCCTCTGATAACTACTTGATTTTGTTTAGCTTCAGTCAGATCCAATATCATTTGTATAAATTATCAGCACAATACAGTCTGTTAGGGTTAGCGGGGTTAGCTTAAACCGCGGCTTATCCGCTAGCTTATCCGACTCCAGAGCTTGTACCTGGTGATAATCTTTTTCACAACAGCTATCGCACTCAACGGAGGTATTAGTGGCTACTCATGTTTGGACTTCTCTGTCTGTATGTCTATTGGTTGCTCGGCAGGCGTACCGTAGAATATAGTGGAGCATGTAGTCGCTGATGGGCCATTGTCAAAAGTTGGCGTCCCCGTCGGGTTGATTTATCCACCCACAGTAGAAGGGAGGTACTCCCTTTACGGATATATATATTTGTATAGCGCTACTTTCTAATCCCCTGCGCAATGAAACAAGATCATACACTAGGTCTCTCTCTATTGCAAATCCCTGCTTCCGCGAGTTCCCACTGGTCACAAATCAATCACCTCTGCTAATGGACCTCTCTGTTCATTGCATGACCCTTCACCATTCCCATCCTCAGAAAGCCAAGACAAGGGGCTTCCAGGACTTCTCTGACTCATATATCCAAAAGTGACAGCGATTTCATCCACCCACAGCATGTTAATTCAGAGGAAGAATGTCGGGCTCATAACCCGAAAGTCGCTGGATAAACCAGCACATGCTACGCTTTCCTTTTTGATTTTTCATCTTGTTATTTGTTGGGTTTGGAGTGGATTTGAAGTGGATTTGAAGTGGGACTTTGGTTGATTCTTGATAGGTGTTCGGGATATCTTGATGCTTATTTTGCCGAGTGTTATTGACCGCCTTCCGGATCGTGCTAACTGCTTAGGGCTTTCTGCCAGACCGCTTCCTTCTTTGACCCACTTTGTCCCGATTAGTCTATCACTTGATGGTGTCTACAGATGACGACAGGAAGGTGTTTTGATAATCACTAAGGGAATTCTTAGTGGCTTCATACATCCCTATACCTGAGTGTGAACTGGAGCTGACATATGATTCGTTATCAATGCCAACATGAACGGTGTACATTCATACCTGTCATACGTATCATAGAAATATACATCGAGTCATCCAATAGCTTCTTTTGACAGACAGTGAAATACCTTGAAACCACTGATATGAATCCAGTTCAAGGGATAAAGATCAACTAAAAGAAACGAGAGAAATTAAAAAAAAGGAAAGAAATCAAATAAACAACATGTGCATGTCAATATGGGCTGGGGCTACAAGCGAAGGCCGAGGTAACAGCACATATCATATATCGAATTTATAGCTCATCTCAACTCAATATGTGCAATGCCAGCAGTACGCACAAGTAAACGCCGAACAAGCTGTAACGTATTTCTCGGACTGGTTTTCCCAGTCCAGAATCAGCGTTTCATCATTTGAAATCTCACCCGTATCATCGCTTGACACGCCCCCGCGTACGACTGCACCGGTGTTTCCCAAGGACCAACGTTCTTTCAGAGTCTCCGTAAGTGCGCGACTCACATTCATATCAAGCTTTGTGGCTCTATCACGTTGACTCTTTCGGCTTGAACCACCCCAAACAGTCCATCTGCTCGTCCTTAGACAAGCGCAGTGAGGATTTAGAGCAAAGGGCGAACTGGCGCAGACTGTTCTCCTGTTCTTTTCCCCGTTTCTTGACGTCCTCGTGGACATATTGAACACTGGTGTCATTGAATAGTCCATACTCATAGAGGCAAGAATAAAGTTGGAGATCTGCGACACCTACATCCGGGGGAAATTCCTCACCCAGGATGTTGTTGTCCTTGTGACATAAAGAACGCGTTTTTACATGGAAATTGACAACTGCGATATGGAATGCCCACCAGTCTGGATAAAAAAAAATGTCCCCTGTTCTCTGATGTATTGGACGTCATTGTGCGTCTGTGGGGAAGAGCTGAGAACTGTTCCCCCCATTCTGGACATCAGTTAAAAGCATGCCCACCTTGTGGTATTGGCGATGTAGGGAAGTGATCATCAGCTTCAAACAGAACCATGCATATCAAGCCTACAGAGTAGTATCACACCATGCACTGATGTGACTCGGAGCCCTTAATCCCTTCTTCCCAGGTTGTCGATGCTTCAGGAAACGTGTGGCCTTAGCCTCACACGTCTGAGATTATCTCCGGAGGTGAATTCTCCCGGCAGACAAAGAAGATGATTGAACCATGTAGCGCTTTAGGTTTGGTGCAGCTAAGCGGGAATGGTAGTACAGGTAGCTTTTGAATTAAAAGCTGTTCAAGACATCAGGAAAAAAGAAACTGATGCACTACAGAATCAGACCGAGGAGAATGATGATAACGGGAAGAAGCAACATGAATAAGAGCGGCTTTGACGAAAGCTTGAAAGAATGACCAAGGGGGCAGAACTAGAGCATCTCCAGAAGCTCCGAGAGGAAGCCGAGGAGCAACGGTGCAAACAGGAGGCCCGGAAACCGAGTATGACGGGGACTTGCTGCATGGGGTTCCAGTGGACCAAGCAGGCTCAGGGATACCAGTATGCTAGAGTCTAGTATATTGTTTCGAATACGCAATTGGGATTGTAAAAATTGATTTCTTTTCCGGCTTGCCAATTCCTGGATTAAGGACCCGCATCATTCGCGGCCTTTGTGACATCCCCTGCATGTACTGGTTCTTATTGATAGTTCAACTAAGGCCAGAGAAGATCTTTAAGACTGTCTCTTTACGTGACAGTATCAGTTCATTGGAATGTCGCTCTAATAACCCTGCTTGACTATAACTCACGATGCTCTACAAGGTGTTTTGGCCGCTTAAAGACTGCTTTAGTCAGGCTAGTAGGCTTTAGTGTGGTCTGGCATAATCAGAGATACTGTTACTGGTAAAGTAGCTCGAAAGGTAGCTCTAGAAAAGGACTCTCCTGTCTCGCCATCTTGACTCCTATCCTATTGAGCATACGAAGACATATGTAGATCATTGTACTAAAGAGCCACTCCCTGACTGCAAGTCGTACATAAATGCCTCAACTCGCAAGGTAGACATGCATCTACCATGGCTATATCGCTCCTTTCTAAGATACGGGTGAGTACTATTCCCAAACGGCTACGGAATGGTCACCGCACAGCCCGACATTTTTCACTCAATATCAGCAGAAGTTCGTAAGTGACCGGCGTGTTTAACGTTGACAGGATTATAATAACGTAGGACGTTCATCTCAACAGCTATCACTACACAAGCTGCTATATGCCGATGAAACCAGAGGCCACGGTCAGGTACATACATCCAGCGATATCTTTTTAGGCCGTTTGAATTCATACCGGCAATGCTCTCAATCTCTTTAAGAGCGATGGTCAAACAATTACCGTGGGATAGGGATTTAATGTGAGTTGGGAGCCAGTGAATCAATAGAAATTAATCAACGTCAGAGACCCCTCTGGTTTCGGATGTAAGCTCGCTACTATGCGCGCGACTCACGAAGGCGCATAACCCCTTTGGCGGTGGAGATAATTGCGGTGAATACACTAGATATGGATATTCCCCTGATTCCTGATGTTAGTTTATCAATCTCTTTGCATCCTAAGTGGGGTGGATGTCTCTACATGAAACGACTCAACCCTAACGTTTCCCGATTCGGGTCATGATAGACGTGGCTCGCTCCTTAATCGGGAAATTTCCCGCACTGGATCTCATCGAGTACGTCAACCAGATCCTCAATCGTACAATTTCTCGTTCATATAAGCCGAAGATCTTCTCCAGGAGGATGTCCGGCCAATCCTCCAGGACAGGGATACTATTCCCTGTTAACGTAGTCGTTCGGACAAAGACGCGCATGCGAACCGGTTGATCTTCCGGACTGGCTCCGTTGAAGACTTTATATTTACTGTATAACAGTGACCGGCTGTGTTGGCGGTTCTGTCTTCATCTGAGTATCTGTCAATTTAACCTCATTGTCACCAGACGTATATAACCATCACCGCAAAAACATGCGTCCCTCAACCCTGGCCGTAGGGACAATCGCATCCCTAGCGACCCTCATCCAGGCCTTCACGCACCCCGGCCTCCTGCACACAAACTCCGACTTCGAGCGCATCAAAACCAAAGTCCAATCTAACGCCGAACCCTGCTAACAGGCTGGTACAAATTAACCAACAGCTCCTTCGCCAAAACCTCCTACACCCCACGCCCCCAAGAAACCATCTACCGGGGTAAAGACGGCACGCACGCGGAAAACTACCCCAACCTGTACAAAGACATCGCGGCGGCCTACGCGCTAGCCATCGAATGGAAAGTCACCGACGACAAAGCCTACGCCGACGCCGCCGTCTCCATCTTGGACGCCTGGGCCACAACGCTGAAAGGCATCTCGGGAAACTCCGACAAGTTCCTCGCGTCGGGAATCTACGGCTACGAGTTCGCCAACGCCGCCGAGATCATGCGCGACTACGACGGCTGGGATAAGGAGAAGTTGGCCGCGTTCCAAGAGATGATGGTCTCGGTGTTCTATCCCATGAATCATGATTTCTTTGTCCGGCATAACGACGCCAAGATTGACCACTACTGGGCGAACTGGGATCTGTGTAACGTGGCTTCGATGCTCTCGATTGGTGTGCTGGCCGATAATGAGACCATGTATCAGGAGGCGGTGGACTATTTTAAGAATGGGACGGGCAACGGTGCCATTGAGAAGATGGTCTGGAAGTTGTATGATGTTGAGGGTCAGGTTCTGGGCCAGGGCCAGGAGGCCGGGCGGGATCAGGGCCATTCTATGCTGGACTTCGCGCTCTTGGGGGCTATCGCTCAGGCGGCGTTTAATCAGGGGGAGGATTTGTTTGCTTATGCTGATAATCGTATTTTGGCGGGGTGGGTGTTTTCCTGCTTTCATTTCCGTTCTTTGTCCTCTGGGTTCTTGGCTTTGGAGATGGACTTGTTGCTGACGTTTGCCAGGGCGGAGTATGTGGCCAAGTATAACCTCGGCGAAGACGTTCCCTATACGACATACCAGAATAGCGATGTCACGCAAACGGTTATCAGCGAGAACTCCCGCGGCGATGTGCGTCCTATCTGGGAGCTTCTGTACAACCACTATGGGGTTCTCAAGAAGCTGAATGCGACTTGGACGAAGAAGTATCGTGATATGGTGGTTGAGAAGGGTGAGGGAGCTGAGGGTGGTGGTGGTTATTATGGGAGTACAAGTGGTGGGTTTGATCAGTTGGGATATGGGACATTGCTGTATAGTCTTTAGATTGGTGGTGTTCTGTTGCTTGGATTTGTTCAAAGGGCTGTGGATGAGTCGTTGTCATGGATATGATGTAGATGGAGCCATATTTACCTTGAGTCTTCCATACCATACTATAAGTATAGTCTACCTACTACTCTCATACTCGTTAAACGCAAAAGTCTATCTGGATAGAACCCCCTCAATATGAAAGAAAGGCCACCATAACGACCCCTCATAACCATCCACCACACCCAACAACCATATCAAACCAGAACAAAAGTAACTATAAGCCCATCCCACCAACGAAGACTACCCCAGCAAGCCACAACCCAATCTACGCCGAGCCATGCATCGACCAAACCACGAGACCCAAATCTCCATCCTGCATAGGATCTCATCTCGCCCTAGGATTTCAATGTCGACCGTCCCAGTATACACATAGTAATCAGACAACACTGACCGGATCCCTCCCGGAAGCCATGCGACAGGGGATTTGAATACAGCCCGCTAGAGGTGATACCTACACGGTGGCTGCATGGCCATAATCAAATGACTCCTTTCTCGTGTCAGCGGGTGTACGCTGAGCTGGAGCTGTAGATGTACTCGGTCTGTAGTCGTGTTTGTCTTTGATCTTGTTCTCATCGGGTCGACTAGATTAGGTGGTCGGGATGAGAACTGGTCGGATGGTGAGCTGGACGGCCGTTGATGCGGGTTGTTTTAAAGAGGTCTGGAGAGGGAATGAGATGCCTGTTTGGGGTGAGTGGTCCGACTTGTGGTTTTGGCCACGGTGAGGAGGTTTGTTGGGTGTTTTCTGTTCATGTAGTTTGTGGTTTGGTGTCGTGTTTGTAGTTAGCTATATTCTGGGTCAGTTTAGGTTTCAAGGGGACTTTGACATGTTGCGGGGGGTATGAGTTAGCTCGGTAAGCCAGTATTGTATGGATGAATTCAGCATGGTTTCCTGGTTACAATCGGGTCGAGGGATAGAAGACTACCTTTATATTGGTCTTTTGTCTATTTGGAAATATGTTGACGTTAACTACATATATACAGCACACAGTGGTTGTCGCGAGTCACTGGGCCATAGGTACCCTAAACACTGACAAGATATTTAATGCAACCAGTCCAGTCAGGAATAGCAAGCAGCACGATGACATAGTAGACCGAATACATCATTGCATAGAATCAAGAATCGGAATCCTAACCAAGCATTTAACCCCAGGGCCAACGGAGAAGCATCACAGGGACATGATTAAGCAATCAATCACAACTCACCAAAAACCCTCGTGCGACATGCTTTCGCGGCGTAATCCAACTACAAACAATCCCAGCGACTCTGAATATAATTAAATCATCCAAAGCAACTATCCAGTCATCTTCAGTACAAAACCAGAATTAAATAGCGCAATGACCACATGTACCGGTATAACAAGGTATACCAACTACACTACATTAGATGAGACGGAGCACATCACACCGAGCGAAGTACGCGCGACATCCCACGCAGTAGCCTGGATCTGCATAACATCAAGTCTCACTTACATGGGCTGCCCAATACAGATACATTCGCGCACAGCCTTGCCGTAAATTAATATCGATTGCTTACAAGCCAAGGGCATGGGCGGGCTAGGACAGTCGGAGTTAAGTGTACCTGTATGTACATATCTCCAGTCAGTGCTGGGTGATGTCGGGCTTACTCCGGCAGTCCGGCTATAGGTATCGGTAATACACGTTGTTCTTTTTTTACTTTTTTGGGAATGTACTTAAGTACATGTATGTATGTGCATTGTATGTATGACTGCATGGGTAGATGCATTAGCTGCGTTGTGGCAAGCCTCCTGGCTGTTTGTCTCTTGTTAGCTAGACCGGGGAAGATGCAGGTGGGAGTATCCAATGAATGTGGTCCGTGGCTGCAGGGACCTATGTTGGCGTGTGCGTTTTCTTGTCCAAAGTTTGGAGTATTTACTATCACTGTTTGGTTCGTGGGTAGGAGAGTGAATATATCTATATTATTTTTTTATGCAACGATACGTATTCTTTTTTTTTTTAATTAAAAAAAGATCTCGGCGGGAGCTTCCCCATATTCGACGTCTTTCTGCACTGCCTTATTAATTCTTCAGAAACTAGGCTCAGAAGAGAAGACGGAGAGACGACTTGCTTCAGTTTTAACGGACGGACGGGATCAACAAGGCTCAGCCGCAGATTAACTCCACAACTTCACATCAGTGGGCTTTCTTATTCGTAGACTCCATGGAATGGTGTGCGTGGTCCGGCCGCTAAATGTGATTAGATATCTGTAAGTGCGGCAGCACCAGGAACGGTTCAAAGTGGGATTGTATGGTAACTCTCGGTTTAATAGTTACAATACTTAAGGGCAGGGAATCGTGACGACTGCAGCCAGGGTGAACTAAATGGACTGCTGTTACCAATCATACAGTAGTGACTGGGCGCTAAGAGGCTGGGGGCTCCACTGAGAAGCGGCCGCTAATATTCTGAGCTGTGGTGGTCCAGATTCCTTGAGGTATTTCTCATTGCGAAAAGGACCGCGCTCTTTTCAGAAATTAAATGTCAGATATGAGATCCCAGATGACTGTATAGTTGTGTGTAGAGAGGGGCGTTTGGGAACCAGGTACTCCGTACAGCATACCAGATACTACTCCGTACTTTGCAAAGGAATCCTGCCTCCTGCGCAGGAAAACGACACGAGATAATTTCACTGGTGGCAGGTATTCTTAGCGCAGACAGTGGGTACCTACTCCAATCACTAAATCAACCAGGATGATTCCTGACAAGTCCAATGACAAATCCAGTACCGAAAATGGCGTGCTACATGTTAGGGGATTTAATTCGCATCAGATAGCAAATCAGCACATGGTCAGTGCTGCCCGTTGAGCTCAAACGGTCATGGATAGCTTCCAGCCATGAACAGCTGTCCACCCTGATACCCGTCTGGCTAAATCGTGGGTCATAGATGCTCAACACGGCCTGCAAGCATGCAAATGCAGCTTCACAGATCCACTGGGCAGAGTACTGGCGCCATAGTACCTACCTTAGGACCTCTCTTCAGCAGAATAGCTGCAGGTCTGCTGTACTGTAGCGATATCGAATGTATGGACGCGCATCCGGTGATGGCATAGTGCAGATCCGGCCAGCTCAGACCACCTACTGGCCAGAAACTCATGAGCCCAACGCACGCTCTTCGGAGATTTTCTCGATGCTACCTCTAGGTGATCCACCCTGTTTCAACGGGATCGACAATGCAATTGTATTATCGATGCATGCCACTCCATACAGCACCACGCATGTATCGCTGAATATTATCGGGCTGTGGCAGTTCTGCAGTTCAGATCTCTGGATATACGGGTGTAACCGTCTGGCATCAGGGGTCAGTGACTTGACAGCGCAGAAGTGATGCAGATCAACCACTTCGTAGAAGATTGTCTGTTTCATGAAGGCATTGATTGTCTCTGTGTATCAGATTTCGCCCCTCATTATAAGGCCTTTTCTTCTCTTCTCTTTTTTTTTCTTTTTGTTTTGTTTTGTTAATTCGTTTTACTTTCTTAATATGAATACTACCAATAGCGTTAAGACTGCTCAACCACCTCAAACCATGCAACCCAGAATATCCAATGAGACACCATGAAGAAGCGTCTAGTAGGCGCCGGCAGACGATCGGCAATGTAGGTTTCGGCTGGACAACAGACTGAACTAATTATAGTGATCATAGTGGTACGGTCGTACTCCTAGAGATATAGCGTAGCGTGGTTGAGGAATAACACTCCTTTGTTAATGTCGTACGTTGCGCAGAGATAGGGGCTCTACAAAGCAGGTAAGTTGACATATCATGCCCATGCGATATTACTAATGATCACATTTTCCATTAACTAAACATGATAGTTATAATTTTCCCGCCAGTTGTTACTCTGTGAAAGATGCACTACTGCATAAGGAACCACCTGACTCGGCCGTGGCTAAACTCAATGGAGTAGCGCTCGGCCTCATAGCAGGCCTGAGGTGTCCAACGTCCGAGGGCCGTGCGATGAAGTCACCCGTGACGGACCCCAACTTCCCCGGATTTGTTCGGTGTCGTACTGCAGTGAATCATATGTGGTTAAATCGTCAAGACGGATCTGAGTTATCGGGCGATAGTATCAGGAAGAGCACATCGATACTCATCGAGGTACCAGATCCATATAGTAGTAGTATGTTTATGCTTAGAAGTAGTCAGGCACCTGCCGGATGCCACCCTCGCCATTCAGGCCGAACCTGAACGTCATGGGCGTGGGGCGGCAGCCAATCAAGCGGGCCAATGCGACTGGCCGCTTGGACCGCGCAGCGGCTAACCTTAGACATCGCCGCCTTGTGCATTATTCACCTATTCCGGGTATTTTGCCCTCAGTTCTCCGATGGCTGGCCACTAAAAGGCTAGTCGTGGAAGAGAACCTCTCGGGATGGACACACATCTGCACGGTGGCTAGAGTTGCCTGTGGATGTTATAAGGTCGTATTCGATGGACAGGGAAGCTTGTTAGTTTGCTATAGTTATCGAGTAACCTTTGACGCTCCTACACCTTCCTTGCTTAATCAGAAGAGCTAAAGAGCTCGACCAATGAAGCTGATAAAAATAACCCCCTCCATCATGCTACAGGAGAAAATGCAGTCCGGGACCTGACCGACGGTATTTTCGACCGTTCAATGGAATCACCATTAATTCTTTTTTTCAAGGAGGGTTGCCACCAGGTTATTATCTCCCTTGTCCGTCGTATCGGACCCATATAAATCCCCATACGGAGTCCTCACCACGTTCTCCAGGCCCAGTCCAGAAAGTTTAAACAAGAAGGAGCAAGGTCAGCAAGGATAGACCGTCAGGAGACAGGCGAAAGTCAAATTGCGCCAATGCAACATGGGAGCGTCACGGACCATTCTGGATGGCTCGGTGGCTAAGTCCTAATTTCTAGAAATTCGAGCGTTCCCTAGGGAACTGGCTCCCGTGCTCAGGGGACGCATGGTTGGGGAAGTCCAAGGACG